GCTTCAACTGCTAATTTAGGATCCCAATCCTCATCAATTTCCTCTTGATTTATTTTATCATTATTGGCTTCCTCTTCTAAATTAATATCTGAATCTTCAATAAATTCATCAAGACCTTCTAAAAATTCTGATGCATTAAGATCTAAAATATTATCTAAATAAATGTTATTTTTATCAGTATTATCATCATTTTCTAACACACCTACATCATTTATTTTATCATTTAATTCTTCTTCAAATTTGTCATCTTTATATAAATTAGCATTATACAAAATAGACTGCAATTCCTCACTTCCTTTTCCAACACTATAATGTGATAACTCTTTTTTTGCATTTGCAAAATAAAATACCGCTAACTTTTGCATTCTTTCAATTTTTTTTAAACTAAGTCTAGTTCTACGTTTTTCATAAAACCAGCAAGAGATAACCATATTCTCTCGCAAAAAGCAGCATGAGGAGTTATTGAAAAGAGTTTGGTAGCAAACTGTGCAATATGATTTTGACCTTTTGATAAATCATTTATACAATATCACCATACCATAGGAGAATTATTGAATTCAAATTGTAAATCATATGGTGGATCTCTTTTTTTATATGCAACTAGTTGTGACATTAATTCATCACGTTCTTTGTCTGATTTTGCCATTTTATCATAAAATGTATTAGCTGCTAAAAGAATACAATGAAATATACTTTGTATTCACACTTGACCTAAATAAAAATATAAAAATATTTAATATTATAAATATAAGAATTATTAAATTATTTTTTAAATATTCTATTAATTTACCATTAATATCCAGATGTAAAAATAATATAATAAATACGCATCATCATCAAATTTAATAAATCGTCAATTAAAAATTGCAATACAATTTTGTCGAAATTCTTAATGATCATTTTTTGGTAATTTTTTAATAGCTACTCCTAATCGTGCCAATCCTAAATAACAATTTGCTAAGATGCTTGTTTGTGATTCCAAAGTAGCAATACTTTTTTTAAGTGGATGCAAAGTAAAAGCTAATATACAACAATTATCAAAAAATGCATGACTTCGTAAAACACTTGATACTGCAGTAGAAAGCATTTTTGTATAATCTGAACGTATCTGAAATTATTATAATATTTTTAATTTAATAAAAAAATTTATTTTAATAATAAATTATTATTAATTAATATTT